ACATTTTTTTATACATATATTTATTAAATATTTACTGCATATATTTATTACATATTTCACAAAAATGAATTGCATATATTTATTACATATTTACTACATATATTTATTACATTTATTTATACATATTTTTATTTACTATTGTTTTTGTTTAATATGAAGTTAGAGGGTTTGTTATGTTTAGCCAGAGACGTATACAATACCCTTGTCATGGGTCCACGAATTGCATTGTATATTCTATTTAGCAGACATTCGCTCATATGCAGTGCGGTAAGGCAAAATAATGAGTGAATGCAACTGCAACTGCAACGCACATATACAGTTCATATACGGCATTGTGGCACCATGTGTTAAAGAAGAACTCTGGGGGAAATGTTTTATTAACCCTTTCAGTGGGGATAAAAAAATTTTACTCACCCAATCATTTCAGATGGCTTGTTCTTAGACTGGATCCCTAGAGCTTAACCCCCCCACTCTGCAGTGGTCTAAGAATCTTTGAATCTTTGTGTCATATCACGTTCTCTACAAGCATATACTGTAGATGTGAGGATGCTGAAGGATGTGCATCTGTGCAGCAGAGGAGGAGACACACTTCAGTGACCAGAGAAGCAGGGTGTCCACTCGGCATATCGGGTGAGTATAACTTTTTTTTAGTACCTAGACAAAAAACAAACAGTTATAGTAACCCTTGCAGTGTGGGGGTAGCTCCACTGCAGGGGCTAATACCTTTTTCCTCCAGCGTTCTTCTTTAAAAAAAAAAAGGTTCATGTAAATTTTTTCTCTTGCACTGAGTTGCACTGTCAGCCCATTCAAAATAAATAGGCTGCCTTGACGCGTTCCCTCAATGCACAAAAACATGTGTGAATGGTCCGTTAGCGTCCAAAACATACAAAGACTGAATCTTTTCTAAGATCTTATTTTTGGAACATTAGGCGAAGGTAAATCACTTGTCGCTTTACATATTTATTGCCAGATGTACTACTTTGCCTGGACATTTCCTTTTACATTTCTAATGTATATAAAATTTTAGACTATAGCAAAAAAATAAGTATCTAGTGTACCCGATTCCACCCCTGCTCCCCAAAATAAGCCACAATTAAGGCTCCTGCAGAAAATCCTCCTCATCACAAGTTAAATAAGAATAAAATTCCAGCATTTGATTTTGCTCAGTCACTATGGGAGGGCCGCTGACGGCTGCATACTTCTCCCAAATTGAGCCCCTGTTTGCTTTCCTAAGAGATGTTTAACCATCCCGGCCTGATATTTTAGCTGTGGCGTCCAAGTCGCGGTAAAGTGCAAGCTGCAAAGGCGCGCTCCAGTGCCGCCACGGCTTGCCAAGGGGAACCGCTGCTCGGAGTCACGGTAGAGTTAAATGAAAGACAAAACAAACAGCAAAAGTTAAGCGGTTTGCTGTAACATCAAGGTTTATTTTTGTGGTTATTACATAGGCCAAGAGAAAAATAAAACACGGCCCTCGCAGAGAAGGGAAAGTAGTTTTCTAAATGAGGGGGGTTTTAGTCCGTGTCGCTTGCGAGGCTCCTTTTCAAAAACATAATCTTTTTTTTTCTTTTTCCCCTCTCTTTGTTTATTCATTTTGTGTATTATGCCATTCAAGGCCGGGATGTAATGTCTTATCCCAGCTGCTATTAAAGTTAGCTTACAAATCACTGCTAATAGGGATATGACACATACAGCGGCTGAGTTATACTCTGTGCAGCTCAAGCTGATGTTTAGAAGTCCACGTGAAATAGCAAACTGAGAGAGCGCTGGGAGGGTACCGAGCTGTATGAGCCGCGGAATATTCATTAAAGCACAAGCTGCTCTCCGGATGCTGGAGGTTTGGTATCAGAAGATTCAAAGTACACTCCAGTTAAACATGGAAATTGTGTCATTGAAGGGAACCTGTCAGACGGCTTACGGCTTTGACAGTCCAGCACTGGAGCGAATTTCTTATCCTTACCGGCAGAAGGGATGCTAATTCCGGGGCAGAGCCCACCTCTGAAGAATCGCATACCGTGATGTCATCATGCGAACATTATGCTTTTAATGACTGTCCTGGAACAAGTAGGCAGATAAGGGCAGATCAGAAATTCTCAGCTACATTGATGTGCTTACTTGCTCTGGATCAGTCATTCAGAAAGTATTATGTGTTTTCTAATGATATTCATTTATAACATAGAAAAGTAAAAAAAAAAAAAAAAAAAAAAAAAAAAAAAAATCTGCATACTCACAATTCAGAGCTGTGCCCCAGCAGTTGTACCTTTCTTCCACTGGAAGCCACCAGTCTTCTCGGTTGAATAAAGTCTGGTATCTTTTGTACCACTTCCTCTGAGCCCATGCAGTCATGGACCCGCCCCCTGAGGGTGTGTCATTAAGCTAGCCAGGGTACAGAGTGCACTGAAAGGTGTTGTAACATGAGCACCATTAAGCAGAAGATCAGCTGCGATCCGTTGCAATCCGTTTTTCAATGGATGTCAGCAGATGCCAACGAAAGGTAACCCAGAAAATGAACTCCATTCCATTGTGCTGCGGTGTGCTGAAAAAAAAATGGTGCATGCTCTACTTTTTTTCAGCATGTATTGGAATGCGTCAAAAACAGAAGGAAATGCAACATAAAGGAATGGAACAGAAGTAAAAGAAAAGAAAACAAATGCATAGAAGTTTGTCCATTCAGCATAATTAAAATAAAGGTTGGCAAAAAAAATGCAACAAAAAGTTTTTGGTCTTATTTTGGTGTGAACGTGCTCATAGTGCAGGAATAAAGGCCACCTACCACAGTGGCCCAAGTAGTGGAGGAATTGCCTGTGGCATCACCAGACATGCATCCAGAAACCTTTTTTTTTCTCCATTCCAATGTTCACATCTCACTAACAGATCTCAGTTTTTGCAATCCTTTTTATCTATGAGAGCATGCTGCTGGGTGAAAAGTCTGCATGCTGACAGAACACTAAAAGGTGCAAAAGATGTATTTTTCAATTGGGGAACCCATTAGTAGCTACCCCGTTATTCATGAACTGAAATAGGTTTAGTTAGAGGCTCAGATGGGCAGATATTTTGTTTGGTTTATGCTATGGACTTTCTCTATAAGTATCTCCTGCATTTAACTGTTGGTGCCTGCAGTCTGGTGCTGCCCCTCCAGTCCCCGCTCCAACGATGCATGGAAACATCAGCCGACAGTGCCGCCGCTCCACTACCCCCTCCAACGCTGCATGGAAACATCAGCCGACAGTGCCACCCCTCCACTCCCCGCTCCAACGCTGCATGGAAACATCAGCCAACAATGCCGTCCCTCCACTTCCAGCTCCAACGGTGCATGGAAACATCAGCGCCCCCCACATGCAGTGTAAAAGACCCCAATCACCATGGAGGGGATAGAGATTCAATGGGATCCATCCAACAGACCAACAAGCTGTAAGTAAGCCTGCAGCTCTGTGGCGAATAAAGGCCTCAACACCGCATGCAAAAGATGCCGATGCCGCCATGCAACGCCAAAGTAAGGAGTAGAGGGGTGGCACCAGCAGAAAAAAGCCATCCCGACCAACAGCGCCACACCAGCAGTGCCAAGGTCCCCAACTACCGCAGGTTTGGGGGGGAAGGGGGGCACATTGAGGAACTTGGCCTTGGGGCAGCAGTGAGAGTAAATCCAGCCCTGGATGTAGGTAAGTAGGTAAGCATTTGTCCAGATGGGCATTACTCGTGATGATGGTGGGGAACTGGTTAAAGGACCCCTATATAAAGGTAAAGCTTAGTGAAAGGGTTATCCATAGCAAGTTGGCAACCTAATGTTTTATTATACTGTGTGTTCCTTCTGTAGAATGGCAGCTGGAATCTGTTTAATGAATAAAAAAACAGGTTGATTCTTACCAGCTACATTTTGATTACTTTTCCTAATAATTCTGACAATCTCATATACAGGATTAACTTTTATTTTATATAGATATAAAGGTCTCACCTCCAGCAGTTTTTAAGTCCAGAAAACTCGCTGTAAGTGCTTTTAATACATCATGCAATAAAATTATGTATACCTTTAAGGCACATCAATTTTATCATGCATTTTCATTCATTGAATTACACATGAAAGATACATCTGTCATTTTATAATTGAAAAAAAAAGAAAGGTTTATAGTGTACTGTGAAATTTCCATACCTTAATATACATTTTATTCAGGAGCCCTGTGTGACTTTGAAATATGTATATTTATATTTATTACATGTAAAGTGTTCTCACCTGAGCCCGCCAGCTGAAAGAGAGACAATAATAGCACATTATAGCTTGGGTGACGTTACAAGATCGGGAGACCTATAATGATATTGATGCATTCTACATGTTCTTGTGTTTTGATTTCACTTGTTTGATATTATAGTGATGGTCGGTGGTTATACATGGATCGGAGTCAGGAGCAGAGCTGGATGATGCACAAAGAAACCTTTCTACATTTCGCTAAATATTTGGTGTGACCTAGAGTCTGACACTAATTATAGTCTATACCAGCACTACTTAACCGTTTCTTAACCGTCACGACATCCTTTAAAAGTATGCAAAATCTTGAGGCACCCCGGTCTAAAAATGTGAAATATGGCATCTGGTATAGAATTTAAGAAGGAGTCAGGCATATTTAACCTATAGAGTGCAGGGGTCAGGTGTGTGGGACATAAGGAGTGCAGGAGTCAGTAATTTGTAACATATAGAGCCCAGGGGTCAGATTATGTAATGAATAGAGTACAGGGATCAGGTGTTTGTAACGTATAGGGTGCAGGAGTGAGTCATATGTAACGTATGGAATGCAGGGGTCAGATTGTGCAATGTATAGAGGGCAGGGGTCAGATTATGTAATGTATAGAGTGCAGGGATCAGGTATTTGTAACGTATAGGGTGCAGGAGTCAGTCATATGTAACGTATGGAATTCAGGGGTCAGATTGTGCAATGTATAGAGGGCAGGGGTCAGATTATGTAGCGTATACAGTGCAGGAGTCAGGCATATGTAACCTATAAAGTGCAGGGGTCAGGTATATGTAACATACAGAGTGCAGGAGTCTCTCATACAGTATGTAACATATGTAACGTATGGAATGCAGGGGTCAGATTGTGCAATGTATAGAGGGCAGGGGTCAGATTATGTAATGTATAGAGTGCAGGGATCAGGTATTTGTAACGTATAGGGTGCAGGAGTCAGTCATATGTAACGTATGGAATGCAGGGGTCAGATTGTGCAATGTATAGAGGGCAGGGGTCAGATTATGTAGCGTATACAGTGCAGGGGTCAGATTATGTAACATATAGGGTGAGGGGGTCAGATTATGTAACATATAGAGTGCAGGGGTCAGGTGTATGTAACGTATAGAGTGCAGGAATCAGTCATATGTAACCTATGGAGTGCAGGGGTCAGATTATGTAATGTATAGATTGCAGGGATAAGATGTATGTAAACTATAGAGTGCAGGAGTCAGTCATATGTAAAATATGGAGTGCAGGGATCAGATTATCTAACATATAGAGAGCAGGAGTCAGTCAAATGTAATGTGTGGAGTGCATGGGGTCAGATTATGTAGCATATACATTGCAGGGGTCATGCATATGTAACCTATAAAGTGCAGGGGTCCGATTATGTAACCCATAAAGTGCAGGGGTCAGCGTGTAATGTATGGAGTGGTGGGGTCATGTGTATGTAATGTATACAGTGCAGGGGTCAGGCATATGTGTGTTGCATTGCTATACGTTGTTAAAAAGTAATGTATTGTTTGATAATGCAACATGTGCTACTGCAAGTGCTATGCATTGCAATAAAGCATGCGTCTGCCGTGAGGTGCCTTGGGGTGCCCTTCAGAATGAATAGCAATGCAACGCACCACCACACCTACCTTGCACTGTGTGATAGTGTGCACTAAATGCATGGATACCACACTTTTAACATAAAGCTATAGTGTAAATAATGGGAGAGTTCCATTGGGCTTTAATGTAAATACAGAAAGCAGTAACAACATGTCTTGTGGCTAGTAAATCATGCTGGGACTTCTAGTTCTTTCCAGTCAGTTACTTGAAACCCTCCCTCCATATTTTGTGTTCATTTCGCTTTAAGAAAAAGTGACATTTTTGATGCTTTAATTTGAGCGCATTATTAATTTATAGCCAATTCATAATTGATAACGTTATTACAACAAGCCAGTTAAAACAATACATCGGAGTAGTAAATATTTATGTCACACTAAATCACAGGTAGTAATGTGTGAGAGGACTTGAGACCAGTAATTGCTGCCCTCCTTCCCCCGGGATCCCTGTAATGGGAGTGTTGGACTGGATGCCGGGGCCGGCTGCGATTCCGACGCTTGTCTGGGGGCCTTTTCTGTGCCCTAAAATATTTAACTGTGCTGTAAATTGAGCTGTACGAGGAACAAAGCATTGGGGCTTTGCAGGATCGATAACCATTTCAAATAGCGTTCAATAATCAGGGCTTATAGATTGGGTCTTCCTGCAGACAGGCTGTCTCAGGTAACTTAGCAGGAGACAGTAATACGTACTTACTAGAACCTGGGCCTACAGAGAAGAGATCATTATTTTATTGTCATTACTTATTTATTATTTTAAGGTCAGGCGAAGCAATCGTGATTGAGAAAAGAAAAGCTGACAAGTGCTTTCCCTTCAATTGGTTGTGTTAAAGTAAACTTTTCCTAAGAGAAATACATGGCCTTGCAGCTGCCAGCCTTCTTCTGAAAATGCGAGTTACCCGCCTGTGGCTTCAATCATTTCTGAGACGTGAAGGCCTCATTCGGACGGTCTGCAGCCTCGGAAACATGTTCCGCGGTGGATCGTTTATTTAGAGGGCGGTAGAGCAGAGGCTGCCCAGTATGTGATACTGCCGTCGCATTTTTAATCTCAAAGGAATTTTCGTCACAACCACCGTGTACCCAGGTGTCCCATCAGAGGCATAAATAGAAACCTCATATGTTAGTGTCTTGGCTGTTACTGGGGTAGTGCATGTATGTAGTCCAAGGAGTTAATGTTGGCACCTCTACAGTTACTGGGGTACTGTATGTATGTAGTCCAAGGAGCCAATTTGGCACCTTGGCAGTTACTGGGGTAGCACATATGTGTAGTCCAAGAAACCAATGTTGGCACTTTGGCAGTTACTGGGTTAGTGCATGTATGTAATCCAAGGAGCCAATGTTGGCACCTGGGCAGTTAATGGGGTAGAGCATGTGTGTAGTCCAAGGAGCCAATGTTGCACCTCGACAATTACAGGGGTAGAGCATGTGTGTAGTCCAAGGAGCCAATGTTGGCACTTTGGCAGTTACTGGGGTGGTGCATGTATGTAATCCAAGGAGCCAATGTTGGCACCTGGGCAGTTACAGGGGTAGAGCATGTGTGTAGTCCAAGAAGCCAATGTTGCACCTCGGCAGTTACTGGGGTAGAGCATGTATGTAGTCCAAGGAGCCAATGTTGGCATCCGGGCAGTTACTGTGTAGTGCATGTATGCAGTTCAAGGAGCCAATGTTGGCACCTCGGCAGTTACTGGGGTAGAACATTTGTATAGTGCCAAGACGCAGTGTTGGTGCCTCGGTAGTTCATAAAGCCCTCTCGTTCATTTTCGGGCCTCCCCCAAGTGCCAGAATGCCAGGGCCCCATCCCACATGAGACTGCAGCAACCCTGGTATGCTTCTACAAAAGCATGTATACAGCACTGTGTGGTTGCAGTGCTACCATTGCAGCAGATGGCTGCAATGATCGCACATCAACCGCACTGTTTTACCGCCCCCTCACCACTCGTGCAGACGAGGCCTAACCCAGAACAAGTCTACAGATTGGAAAAGTCAGAACCAAAGCAGAAGTCCTTATATACATACATGTTATGGATTATTGGCTTAATGTAGTTAAACAAGCGGATCAACGTGACAGTCTGAAGACTAGCATTTTGCTCCAGGTCCCAAATCACAACTTCCCTGAACTTCTGGGTAGGAAACTGCAAGCCCTGAATACAGCACATGTAACTGGTAAGAAGGGATAGCACAGGCTCCCTTATTTTTAATTTCCACTGTATTTTTTAAAAGTTTTCTTTTCCATTGATTCCTGTCCCTCAGGGCAGTAACCCGGATTCCCATACACATTTTATGGCCAATAACTTGCACGTAAGCCCTCTCAAAGGGGACAATTGTTTTTGAAAGTTCTACCCCCATTGACTTGCATTGAGTTCAAGTTCGAATTCAAACTTTTTGGATGTTCTAAAGTTCAAATTTGAACTGAACTCAGGCTTGTTCGGCCCATCACTATTGGTGATAGTAGAGCGCACAGGAGCAGAGTAGAGGAGACAGTGCCAGCTTAGCTGTGGTGTGTAATGGGGCTGTGTAAATCTCAGGACTGGATTGGCAGAAATATAAATTCTTTAACAGGTAAGATACAAATATCATCTCTCTATTTGAATTTTCTGATGGCTTCTGCTTTGATGGATGTTTTCCTTTTAATGTTGGGCTGCAAAACGAGCGCCAGGGGTGAAGAAGATATGACTGTCACACCTACCCATAAATCAGGCAGTTTAATCACACCTGCCATTTGGGTCAGCTTCTTCTTTCAGGAATTGCTCTGCGTGAGCTCCCTCCGCTCTCCCACTCTATTATCTTAGAAGGTTGTCATATGCGCTCTTGTTTGTGTTTCATCCATTCAGTGTGCGCAGGCACATTCCTTCCTCTCCTGGAAGACCACAAACAGATAATAATGATGGAGCATTGTGATAGGAAGTGACGCCAAGCTAGAGCGGAATTAAAGCTGAACTCCAGGCACAAAAACTTTAATTTAAATATATTATTCAGTAGTCACAGAGGATTAAAATTCTCTGTGTGTGCACAAAACGCCTCTGCAAACCCAGATATTACCATATAAAAACAGCAGTGATATCATCACTTTGCTTTACATAGCCTCAGCTGTGGGAGGAACCTAGAAGGCCACACCCACTACTGCTGTCAATTGAAAACTACAGGAGGGGGCGGAGACAAGACCAGTCACCCTGCACAAGGGGAGGCACCAAAAGTGACTGTTCTTTATTACAGGAAGCTTTTGCACTATGGTACAGCTTCAAGTCGTAAAAAAAAATATTTCAAAAAGAATTTACCGTCTATCATTTAAAATGAGAATTTCCTTTGTTTTTCTGTCCAATACAGGCAGTAACCCAGCAAGCACTTTGCAGACTTAAAAAGGTTCATTCCACTTTCCCAGGTGAATTTGGTGAAATGGAATAACTCCTTCCAATCTGGTCCCCAACACCCCACCCCGCTATACTTTGGGTAAACACTCATTCCCCTCTGCTCTCACTTTAATTGAAAAAAAGCGATACATTCAACCCTGGTGTAGTGAAAGCCCAATCTGAGATGGAGCCTTTAGTCCCGGATAGAGAGGGGAAGGCTTAGAGCCTCTAACATGTTTGAAACCAAAAGACATTTCTATTGGTTCTCACTAGGCCAACCAAGGCCTGGCCTTGGGGCAGCAGGGAGTAGGGAGGCAGAAGGGGTGTGGAATTCCTATCTCCCGATGCACGGGAGATGCAGTTCCGGGCGCCAGGCAGTTGTTTTCTACATTTAGCCCTACTTTGGGCAAGCAGAGCTAAATGTACAGTGGGGAAGCCACTTCTTGTTTTCTTACAAGTGATCCCGGCGATGTCGAGATCACTTGCATGCAGCCTGCAGGTCTGCCATTCTCCATGGGGGGGTTGGTGGGTAGGAGGGCGCATTGAGGAACCTGGCCTTGGGGCAGCAGAGAGAGTAAATTCGGCCCTGGGTGTGGGAAAGAGACAGAACCTTGGACATTGCTTTTATTGCTGTCCATGCTTTACTGTCCTGGTGGAGACCACTCCCACTATTTCTTGCACAGGACGTAAGGGAAAATCTCCCCAATGGAGTCAC